GCCCCCCCCCCCCCCCCCCCCCCCGCCTCTCTTCAGCTGGCCCTCTCCCTGTCCCTATTCCCCCCACCCTCCACTTAAACAAACAAAAGAACCCGTAAAACCCTTGCCCCTTCTAACCCTGGAAGAAGCCTGTCGGGGCAGTCACATAATGATTGATCAGAAAGCATCCTTCATCTGGGAGGTTTAGGGAAAAGAGAAATGAAGAGGACCGCCTTGTCCCGAAGGGCTCCCAGACTAACTAGGGGCAGGCAAACAGACAGCTCCTTCTCCAAGTCAGCGAAAACTTGGAATCCCTCAGGACAGACCTCCACCCAAGCGAGGAAGACACAAGACCCCTAGCATTGCAGACCAGGCAATCACCGGCCACTCAGAGCTACTGAAAGTAGAGCCACTAGCTGAGATGCAGGCTCTGCCTGGCCTCTGGGATCAGTCAACAAACGCTTGAGCTCTGCACACAGCCTAGTATTGAGGGCCAAGCCAAAGGAGAAACAGCCCTTATGGGAAACAGCCCTTATGGGAAAGGGACCAGAGGAAGCTGGCCTTGTACTGATGCCTTCTGCTCCCAAGATGCTGTACTGTGCAAATGGATGATAAGATGGCCTCCATGGGTCATAAGTGTGGCAGGGGAAGGCAGGGGTGGAGCAGAGGGAGCCCTCACAGTGTGCAGATCCCCTGTGCCTAAGACGAGTCCAAAGGGTCTCCCCATCTTTCATCATCAGGTACCTACTAGGCAGATAGTGCCGGCCTCCTCTGTACTTTGGAACACTGCTGTAAACAAGACAGACTACCCCCATCTCCAAGGACAGACAGCCTAGTGTGAAGATCTCACGAAGAGTGGAAACACCAGTCTATGATCTTGAGTCCAGGGAACCAGTAGCCATGGCGAGAAGTCACGACGTTTGGAAATTACTATACAAAGTGCCCGCTGCTCCCTGAGCAAGCTTTGTGGTGTGTGGGGGTGGTCCCCGGTAAGCTGTAAGCTCCTGACACTCACTTTGGTTCCCCGCCCGCAGGTAGGCCTCTGGAAGAGCCAGTCCGGCGTCCCTGAAGCCGCGGCAGTGGAGCTGCAGCGAGCGCATAGAACGCTGGCAGCAGCAGAGGAGCGCATAGGGCAACTCCATCGCGGACAGGTGGAGGTGCGGCTGCGCACAGAGGAGGCCAGGCAGGCGGTGGTGCGCAGCCTGCAGCGTGTGCGTGAGCTGGAGGAGCTCGCGCGGCGCGTGCCCTGCCTGCAGCTCCAGGTGCAGCGGCTGGAGGCAGAGCTTCGACGCTACAGGTGAGCAAAGGCACAAGGTAAGGCCAGGTCCTGTTCCCCAAACTAGACGTGCAATTCTGCCCGCAGGCAAGTGTTCATTCCTGTGTTTGGCCTTTCGTGCATAGGTTCTTGCATTTCTTAATTCATTATGTACTCCATTACTGCCCATCCATCCAACCCCCTGTTCACCCACAAAGTCCTTCTATTTGTGATCCATAGATTACAATCATGCTCTTCAATTTGATCCTGATAGTTGCTAACTGACTGCACACAGTGCCCGCCCTAAGCAAAGAACTTTATGAACTTAACCTCAGTTAATTTTTAGGACAGCCCAGTGAAGAAGGTCCAGTTATGACCACATTTTTCAGATGAGGAAACAGGTTCATAATGACCCCTTGTGCTAGCTGGACCTGGGCAGGAAACAAAACTTGGGACCAAGGCTACAAGTCTGGCAAGGCTACTGACAGATGTGTGACTTTGCAAAGTCACCAGCTGTCCTCCACCCAGTTGTTCTTGGGAGGAGCAGACTGGAGTCCCTGAAGGCCACAGTGGCCTTTCGGTTCTGCCTGGCTGTGCTGGGTGCTCATTCTTTCACATAGCAGGATGGGTCTGCCTCCCTGATCTGCACAGCATTTGAGCACCCTCTCTGTGCCAGTGTTGTGCCTGGCAAGGGATGTGACTGTGGCTAGGACAGACCAAAACCCCCATCCTGAGCTGCCATCAGTGAGCATGTGACTTCCACAGGAACAGATGTGAGGCAGTAAGCAGGACACATGTTGGGGGAGGTGCATTCCTGCTGCTGGCTTAGCCTACCCCCTGCCCCAGAAGTGGGACCTAAAACCTGAGAAAATAGGAACAGTAGGGGCAAAGGCCACTGCAGCACATTCCAGAAACTAAAAGGAAGTGAGCATGGCTGGGAGAAGGCTGGAGAAGCCAGGAAAGGCCAGGCCACCTAGAGCCTGGAAGGTAGTATAGCCTTTATCTGTCCCTTAAAAATGTGAAGCCAGGATGACTCAAGCAAACTGTATTTGAGTAAAGAACTACCATGGCTCCAGCTGTGACAGAGGGAAGAGACAGGTAAAGAGCTGGAGATAGCCTGGGGGAACCAGTGGGAGGCAGGTCTCCCCTCACAGGGGTATGGTTTGGCCCAGGCTAAGGCAGGACAGCCCAAAGGAGTGGCTTTGAACTTGTGTCCTCAGAGGAGGGACCACATCCTTGATTTCTGAAGCACTCAACAGCTGGGAGAGGCTGACTCAGGCTAGCCTCCTACAGCTCCAAATATTTGGATAGTTGCTTCCTGTTTACATAGCTGATGGGCTACAGATCAGAGCTGGTTGGCATAAGGCCCATGTTCAGCCTTGGAACGTTGTCCATGAGGAGAAACAAATGGTCTCTTTTGTTTTGCCTTAAAGTGACAATTAATCATTTATAGCATGGTTATAGACAATTGCAATGTCAGAAAGCTCTACACTAGAAAGGTAGATTCCTATCCATCATACCACTTGATCCCCACAGGACTACCATACAAGGCCTTAATCCTCATTTTATAGGTGGGGGGGGTGAAGCTGTGAGAAGTTAAACATACCTGAAGCCATGCAGCCAAAATGTGGAAAAGTAAGGCTTGCCTGCCCCACAACCTGTACTTTTTCTTTCTACTCTACATTTTTTGTTTTATTTGCTTCATGGCTATAAGATGGCTACAGTGCCTGCAGGCCTTGCATCCAAGGAGCTAGGTATCCATGGAAGGTCTAGGAGCCATTCCCCTGCAGATATTGACAGGTGACTGCACTTACTTTAGTCTCTTTGGTATTGCTATAGTATCTGAGTTTCCAAGAATGTTTTATAGCTGCTGCTTCTATTGTGGTGATGAGCTCCAGGTATGCTGTGTAATTTTGCTGTAAGTCTGTCAATGGCAGAGCTACGGACTCAGAGTTTTGGCGTTTTTCTCTTGCCTTCGCCACAGCTGGTTTTAGCTAGACCATTTTTTTTTAGTATTTTTATTGAGTTTTTGTGCATTTCATACAATAGTTCTTAATCAAATTTAGACCCCCTCCCCAACCCATACCTTCCTATCCTCCCTGCCCCCCACCAGACCTCATGAATTCTGTCATATATGTTAAGTCCTATCCAGTCAAACATTCATACCCAGATGTCCTTCGATACAAGTTCATCCACTGGAGTCTAGTCAACCTATCTAGAGATCTTAAAGAGGATCTACTCTCCCTCACCCAGCAGTAATCAGTTGCCAACAGTCCCCAGGCTAGAGCCAGGGTCCACCACCCATTTACCTCACTCCATACTGAGCTCTTGTCTGAGTCAACATGGGTCTAGTTCATTTTTAAAACTGGTTTCTTAGTATGGAGTTTCCTAACTGGAGGGAGAGATCAAGCCCCATACCTAGGAATTAAATCCCAAGGCCTGGGGGTGGAATTTTTATCCTCCTGGTTCATTCAAACTCTGACTTCCTACAGGAACCTTTTGTTAACCCAGCAAGTTGTCTTTTGTATTTGACCCCTTATGGGCATTTTAGTACCATCTCCTGCTCCTGGAGACCTCTTCTTGCTTTTGACTTTGCTTCTGTATTCTTTTACATAGTTATATTTTGCCCAGAATGTCTGCTTACTTATAGATGAAAGGGAATGTCCCATAATGCTTCAGTCAACCATCGTGACCACCAACCTAAAAATATAGAGCAAATAAGCAATTGGAAATCACTTATTGATTCAACCATATTTTATAAGGCTCCACTTCACCCTCCATGGACCATACCCTGTGCCAAATCCCTCAAGAGCACAGAAATGGAATAGAAACATTCTCTGTTCTCAGATGGTCTCCTGGACACAGGGAGCAGCTCCTGATCACATGTGTTAGGACATAATGTGTCATGTGCAGAAGGACCACAGAGCTGCCACTCGTACCTCCAGAGTTGTAGGAGCCCAGGTCAGACAGAAGTCCCCAGGTGTCAAAAGGACTTGGGCCTCCAATGAGTATAAAAGAGCCCAGAAGCCTACCTAGCCCAGCCCCAAACTGCTGAGACAGGCAGCCCTCTCAAAGGGAGTGCCCTTCTCATCCTGGCCACATAGTCCTGCTTTCCCAGAGCTGGCCTCTCTCCCACCTCAATTCATGTGAGCTGAGATCTCGGCTTCTTCCTCAAATCCCTTAACACAGTCCACCTGGGCCTAGCACAGTCTTCTACCTCACAGACTATTGATGTAAGATCACGTTGCAGTAGGAAACAGCTTCCTAAGGAATTGCATTGCCATTCATAAAATGTCATTTAACCCTCCCCAACCAATATGCTTCACTGGCACCTCAACCAATTTAGACTCAACCGTACATATCCACCTCTCTCCTATTTTCTCTTTTTTCATTCCTATCAGCCAGTTCTTTTGGATAAGCGCCAGAAAGCTTAACTCAAACTGACTTGGGTGAAAAGTAAGTCAGTTGATTGCTAGAATTGAAAAGCCTAGGCATAGTTAACATCAGTTATGACTGAACCCAGGTGCTCAAGGCATGCCACCAATATGCTGAGGCTCTGCTTTACTCTCAAGCAAGTTCTCTCCCAACACCATGGGTTGTCAAGGTCTGATCTCTTGCCTGAGCCATCCCATAGAAGTCCAAAACCAAGTCTCTATGTCACCTTGGAAACGTGTCCCACCTTGAATGCATCCTTACAGGCCAGGATACTTTGATGCTCTTATTAGCCAAACCTTAGTCACATGCTTGCTACTGGAGCCAGAGCAAGACCTGCCATCCTGTGGGACCCTCCCAGGAGAACCAGGAGAGAGTGTGGATGCATACAAACATGCATAGAACTTAGCAGTTAACGTTCTCACAGCCCAAATGCCCACTCTTGTCTCAGAAACAGCCCATTTGAGGTTTCTGGAGACTGTGGGAAGTGAGGCCCAGGGAGGGACCCGGTCACACAGCAAAGGCTTGCCTCTGTGTCAGATTTCCTGGCTGCAGATGCTTTTGGGTAGTTGTCAGTGCTTTCTGGGACAGGTGTGCAGAAAGATCATCAGTCCAATGTCCCTTTCCCTAGTAGGGTCCTGCAAGGAAACAACAGGCTTGGCGCTTCTTGATTCAGCCCTAACCCAGGACTGACACACAGCAAGACTTGCATGAACAACTGCAGGGTGGCAGGAATGTGTGGATGGATGTTGTCCTCAGAAATGTCTCAGCAGGACTTCAGCACAGGCAATCCTGAGTGACCCAGAGTCCTGACACTGAAGGGCAGCACTGCTCCTGGGAATGATCAGTGGTGTCCAAAGGGGAAATTTCTGGTAATTTATAGTGTTCCTTCTCTTGAGCCTGCCCTTGCTCTACAGGTAGCCTTCGGGACACCTGGGCAGGAACTCAAAGAGCCAGCAAAGAAGACAGAACCCCCTTCTCCCACTGACCACTGAGTGGGGCCCAGGGGCTGACCTGGCCTCTGTGGGTTTGTTGTCAGGAAGATGAAAAGGCCAGAAAAGGAAGGAGACAGAGGGCAGCTTGGTCTTCGGGCCACCATAGAAGATGAGGCCATCCAAGGATTACTTCCTCTCTTTTCACCCATTGCAGCAGCCTGACCTGAGCTGGAGGCCAAAGTTAGCCAGTTAGAAGAGAGGCAGAAAGAAAAGCAAGGCAAAGCCTAGGGCGTCTGTCCTATTGTCCTTGGAGGCCATGTGGGTGGTCACTAGTAGGAACAGAAGCCCTTCTTTTAAGGACAATGGAACCAGCCCAAAGCATAGAGATGCTGGGGAGAGGCCCAGGCTCAGCAGCCTGTCTGCCCCAAGTTCAAATTCCAGCTTTCCCACATGCTATGCAGGACCTCAAGGAGTTATCCCTGCCTCTGTGAACCTGGGTTCCTCACCCATTAAGTGGAGTGAGCTTCTGTTCCTCAATCTTTGCATACATACTAAGTGGGAAGAGGAAGGAGTGTTGGGGAACCCTGCTGTTAAGGTCGACTCCTTTCCTAGCAGGGGCTTCCTGCTCTCTGCCTGACCTGGTTTGGAAAGTGTCTCCAAGCACAGATGCCTGGC